GTTTGTTTTATTTTTCTTTTGTGATACTTTGTTTTTTTTTTCTATACTTTTTATTCCTATATGCATATCATTTTGATTTTTTATGATGAAAAAAGACCAGCAAGGAAAAGATGATAACCACATTCAGTTCAGACTCAATCAAATGTACACTCTAAAAAATGCTGGGTTGTTTCAACCCAATGTTGGGTCAAATATGGACTTACCCAACTGTTGGGTTAAAAAGTTAATTTAAAAATGTAACCAAAATTTAACCCAACAGTTGGGTTAGTCCATATTTGACCCAACATTGGGTTGAAACAACCCAGCGTTTTTTAGAGTGTATCAACTGTGAAAATGGCTGAATAAGGTGCTAAATATTTTATTGTATGTGTTCGCAGTGGGTAAGAGACAAAAGCCTGGTGAAGTGAGTACAGCTGGCCCAGGCAGGGAACGCACAGCATGTTTCTTTTGGCAGGGACATCACTCTAGTGTCAGTGGGCGTGGCACATCTGCCCTCATGACGGTAGAGCTGGGCAACCACAGGGGGGCGCAAGTGCTGGTCACACAGGGAAAAGAACCGCCCTGCTTCCTCCAACTCTTCCAGGGAGGGCTAGTCATCCACCGGGGCTCCAGGGATGATAGCTCCAAAAACACGGGTAATAATCGAAGAAAACAATCAGCAAGATTCACCAGACCTCTTTTATAATAAAAAATAATTGCATATGTATGTGTGATTTCAATGTGATTTTTCCTGTCAGGAGACTGGCGTTTATTCTGTGTGCGTGGAGAGACAGAGATGGAAGGCTCACTGATTGAAGCAGAGTGCTGTTGTGCCAGTCTGCGCTCTCGTGCTAGTTTGCTGCTGCTGGGGGTACAGAAGGGAGAGCTCTACCTGTGGCACGGCTGTAAGTCTCATCCAGGTGCCCGGAAAGTGGGCAAGAGGACAGTGGAGCGCCTCACTCAAACGTGAGCAGATTTATCCATACAGACTCGCACTTTCTTTACAGAAATGATAACCATATGGTGAATTTTGTATATATGCATATTACAGTTGTCCTTGCGAGCTGGGTTTGAACAGTAACAGCAGTTTGAAAGTGCATGAGATAGAGGAAGGAACTGAGCCCAAGGAATTCTGGGATGCTCTTGGCAAGCAGGACAGGAAAGCCTATGACTGCATGCTGCAAGGTGCAAAAGAAAATGTTTGTTTTACAAACAATCTGTTTCTTTGTTCTTGATGTTGTTAAATTATGTGATTATAACATACAGATGCAAAATATATATTTTCAATGTCATGGCTTTGTTCCAAATATAGTGACCTGTCTACTGCTGACAGAGGAAGGCCATATCTGAAATGAAACTTAAGGGGCTGATTTTAAACACTCCATGTAGGCAGCAACATTGTATATCTTACAAATGGCGCTTTTTATAGTAATTCAACAGGAGACAATTTATTTCAATTGGTAGACTTGAATAACCATTGATTTCAATAGAGTGCAACGATGCTCACTCGGCCATGATTCCAGAAATATTTTTCCCTTGGGGATTTTTAAAAAGCCTTCATTAAAGATATGTAAGCCAAAAGAACCAAACCAACCAACTACAAGGTGAATCACAACATTACAAGCAATTACAATCTTTGAAGCAAAAAAGTATTTGAAAATCAGACAAAAAGACAAAGGTGCAAGACCTGTGTACTTAACGGCTTTAATAAGGGAAAGAACTACAATCCCATAATGTATTTTTTTTAACGAGCATTCCACTGTTAAACATGATTATTTAAAAGTTATAATAATGCAGGCTGATGGCTTCAACAAACTAATATACTATTGATTAACAACCTTATAGCTCACAGTAGGTCTGTCTTAAATGGTCTGTAAGTTATCGTTAAAAATCAGTTCCCCTAGGGAGAAAACAAATGGGATCTTTACTTCCAGAACCTGACTGATGCATTCTATAGAGTCTAAAATAAAGTAGTACTCAAAATACTTGGTAAATTAGTCCACTTTAATTCGATTTAACTATGTTTTATCAAAATTTTGTGACATCACATTAATTGTATTTCTAATAGACATTTCTCTCACTTTGCCATCTTGAATTAATTTTTTTCACTGAGCTTCCCACAAAACATAGAATATTTCTGCAAAAGATACGTGTGATGTTGCCTTTGAATAGGACCAAAAGAAGGTGTTTTCAGCATAATCATGCTGCTTGTCTGTTAAGAACAGTTTTTATGTGCCTATAATGCCTTAACATGCTGGCAGTGTAGGCAGCTCACTACGTTTTAAAGCAGAGCCCATGAGCTTGTGTGATTTTGATCTGATGCAGCTATATTTACAAATATACAATTCTCTGTTTGCTTGCAGATCCAGGGAAGTATAATTTCACACCATGTCTTTTCCGTCTGAGTGCCAGTGGTGGGACTTTTCAGGCAGAGGAACAGTTTGGGCCCACCCAAGTGATAGGAACTGTCATGGCCATGCCGTTCCTGCAGGAGAACTTATATTCAGCCCCTCAGCCTGGTATATAAAGTCCTTACATGAGACTGTAATCATGGATTCTTATAATGTGAATTGATATTGATATTGTATCATGTGTTGCACATTATACAGTGTCAATAGTTTATATTCTTTCTCTATCTTTCTTGTTCTCTGTAGCCCTGTTCTTGGTGGATAACAGGATGGAAGTGTACCTGTGGCAAGGACAGCAGCCAGAAGATACAGAATGTACTGGCTCGGCTAAGATCCGCTGGGACAATGAGAGGAAGTGTGCCATGGAGACAACACTACAGTACTGCCAAGGTTAGGAGATACCGATACATAAATGTAATATATGTACATATATGAAATATCAATATATGAAATATATGCTCATATAAAGTAAAAATATGTGTTTACATATATGCACCGCAATATATGAAACCTATAAGAAATTGGAACAATTTAATGTATTGACGTAAATTTGCACCATATAATATATATGGTTATGTATGTATAACACATATTTTGAGATATATGTCTCTTATAAGAAATATCCATATAAATTATTAATATAGAGTAAAAACAAATGTACATATATGCACAGCCATTTATGAAACCTATTAGAAATTGGAACAACTCCATATATTAGCATATAAATGTATACCATATAGAATATTTGTTTATGTATAATTCATATATGTATCATATACATTGGGGAAAATATTTATTTGATCCCCTGCTGATTTTGTAAGTTTGCCTACTTACAAAAAAATGAAGGTTCTGTAATTTTTATGGTAGGTTTATTTTAACGTATAGAGACAGAATACCAACCAACAAATCCAGAAAAAAAACACATTATATAAAGGTTAGAAATTGATTTGCATTTCAGTGAGTGAAATAAGTATTTGATCCCTAAGCAAAACATGACTTAGTACTTGGTGCAGAAACCCTTGTTGGCAACCACAGAGGTGAAACGTTTTTTGTAGTTGGTCACCAGGTTTGCACACATCTCAGGAGGGATTTTGGTCCACGCTTTACAGATTCTCTCTAAATCCTTTAGGTTTCCTGGCTGTTGTTTGGCAACTCGAAGTTTCAGCTCCCTCCACAGATTTTCTATAGGATTGAGGTCTGGAGACTGGCTAGGCCACTCCATGACCTTAATGTGCGAATTTCCAGCTCCCTCCACAGATTTTCAATAGGACTGAGGTCTGGAGACTGGCTAGGCCACTCCATGACCTTAATGTGCTTCTTCTTGAGCCACTCCTTTGTTGCCTTGGCGGTATGTTTTGGGTCATTGTAATCCTTGAAGACTTATCCATGACCCATCTTCAGTGTTCTGGCTGAGGGAAGGAGGTTCTCGTCCAAGATTTTACAGTACATGGCCCCATCTATTTGCCCCTCAATGCGGTGAAGTCGTCCTGTACCCTTAGCAGAAATCATAATGTTTTCACCTCCGTGCTTGACTGTAGGGATGGTGTTCTTGGGGTCATAGTCAGCATTTCTCTCCCTCCAAACACAGCGAGTCGAGTTAATGCCAAAGAACTCAATTTTGGTCTCATCTGACCACAGCACTTTCTCCCAAGCCTCTTCTGAATCATTTAGATGTTTATTGGCAAACTTTAAATGGGCCTGTACATGTGCCTTCTTGAGCAGTGGGACCTTGCAGGCACTGCAGGATTTAAGTCCATTAGTGTTTTACCAGTGGTTTACGTAGTGGTTTACGTAGTGTGTTACCAATGGTTTGCTCGGTGATTGTGGTCCCAACTACCTTAAGATCATTATCAAGCTCCTCCCATGTAGTTCGGGGCTGATCCCTCACCTTTCTCATGATCATCCTTACCCCATGAGGCAAGATCTTGCACGGAGCTCCAGACCGAGGCCGATTGATGGTTGTTTTGTACTTCTTCCATTTCCGAATAATCGCACCAACAGTTGTCTCCTTCTCGCCAAGCTTCTTGCTGATGGTCTTGTAGCCCATTCAAGCCTTGTGCAGATCTACAATCTTGTCTCTGACATTCTTTGACAGCTCTTTAGTCTTGTCCATGGTGGTGGGAGAAGTTGGAATGGAAGATGCAGATTCTGTGGACAGGTGTCTTATACACCTAACAAGCTGACATTAGGAGTAACTTCTTAAAGTGACAGGACTAATCTGTGTTCCATATGGGCACATAACCAGTCTGTAGGAGCCAGAATTCTTGCTGGTTGGTAAGGGATCAAATACTTGTTTCACTCACTGAAATGCTAATCAATCTCTAACCTTTATATAATGTGTTGGTTTTTTTTTCTGGATTTTTTGGTCGGTATTCTGTCTCTATCCATTAAAATAAACCTACCATAAAAATTACAGACCATTTCCTTGTAAGTGGGCAAACTTACAAAATCAGCAGGGGATCAAATAAATATTTTCCCCACTGTATATAATTCTTAATACACAAAACAAATGTCTTTGTGTGCGTCATATACAAATTACACATACATGTGGCATATGTTATTAATATGTCATAGAGTTTTAATATGAATTTTACACATGAAAAATTAAATATATGTAAAATATGTTGGAAATATAAATATATGGGATATATAAATGTAATTTATGGAAAACATGGTGTGCACATATATTTTGAATATGTGTTACTTATTGTCAGGTGAGGCAAGGGAAGAAGCAGGATTCAAGGATGCAGAGGTTAATGGGATTTTTTATTAGACTTAACATAAACAAATACAGAAAAACACAGTTCAAGCAGGCAGTGGCAGGACTGGAGCACACACGACAGGGCAGGACAGGACAATACACAGCAACACCTACCAGAAAACCATCCTTAAAGGGGAAACCATCCACAATAAACTAGCACAGGTCTGAGAACAAAAGGGGAATAAATTGGGAAGGAAATTAGTAGGGTAATGAGGGAGAGCAGGTGGGGTAAATTAGGGGTGCTCCGATCAGGATTTTTGAGGCCGATCACAGAAAGCAGTATCTGCCGATATCGATCACCGATTCCAATCTTTTTAAAGCCTTCTTTTTATCATTTATAACTATTTATAGTGATATTAGAATCAGGATTTTTAGACATTTATTCAGGGCCTGAATTTCATTTTTGAAAATGGGGGGAATTCCCCTCTTAGGTGACTCTTGTGAGAGGGGAAGCAGCTTTCACACAGGAGTCCGCTACTGATCCGTGGCTGTTTACCACAAACATTCATCCATTATTTTAATTTCAAATCCAAACATTGTCACTGAAAATGCTTTTTCAGCATTGCAATTCTTTTTTT